TTCCTTGCTCTCTCATTGGGGAATTAGGAAGATAGCATGGGACGGGAGCAAAAAGTCTTCTGCCTTCTCTAGAGAGTTAGCTAAAGCCAGCCAAAGCTAAAGTTTGGAAGGTGTTCAGGAACCACTGTCAGGAATTTAGTGATTATCAAAACTCTACAAGTGTCAAAAAAGATTGGAGCACTGAAGTTGTCCTGGAAGCCAAGTCATTGTTCACTCACACAGACATCCATACATAAGCAGCTCTGTGAGTGCTCATCTAGGACGTATCCTATGAAATGGCTGCGGTGCAACTTCTCATGAATCTCAGCACAATTTAGTGCCTGTCAGAAAGTGACAACGAGACTGTGGGCTTTTTAAAGATCTCATATTGACAGTGAATGTTTTGCAAGCTCACATTGCTGAAAGGCTTGACACTCATTATCTCTTGTAAAAGCCTGACAAGTATTGGACATGTGATGAAGGAAGAAGCCTTGTTTTACACATTATGTCAATTTTTAACTTTTCTTTTCGAGCCCCTTCTGCTTTTAATGACTGCAAAAGCAAACCAGCTTCATAGCTGCTCAAACTCGCAGAGAAGTTATTTATTAGGTGCTATTTCAGACTCTGTGCTTGGACAGGCTGGGCTGTAATATTAACCTCCAAATTAGTTAGTAGTGCTGCTGAAGGATGTTTTCCAACATCTGTTTTTAGCACTGTTAGAATGGAGCTTGGAGTATGGAGTATTTAAGGGCTTTTTGAATGGGGCCACACTGGAGATGAACTGCGGTGATTCTGCACGAGAATCATAAAACACATTATATTTGCCCATACCACATGCAAAAGCAGACAGATGCAGCTGATCCTGCTGCTGAAATAGCAGTTTGTTGCAGCAGACATCTTACCAGAAGTGTTGAGAAGAGACTTTAAAGGACCATATCTTAAAGGCAGAGACACCCGCTCATTGCATATTAAGAGCACTGATTTGAAGACATGTCAGATTGGGAGGTCAGGCAGAGCTGACTCTGAGTGACCTCCAGCTCTGACAGAGCTGCTGTGTTCTACACACCGTGTCAAGACCTTGTCTACAACTGGCTGAATGTCAAAATGGCAAATTCATCCTGATGCAGGTACATTTATAGGGATATAAACATGTTTATGCAGTACTTCTGGGAAGTAATGCTTTAAGTGTACTCTCCTAGGATGAAAGCCACCACACCGAGGATGTTACCAGTGTAAAGCTGTGACTAGCCTTTCTCCTTTTTCTGTTTAGCCAGAAGAGTTGATGGTTTAAAAGACAGAGCAATTATTGTGGTCCTTCACAAAAACATACCACTAAACCATATTCCTGAGGGTTGATATGGTCCTCAGGAATATGGTTTAGTGGTATGTTTTTGTGTTTTGTTTTGTGTTGTGGTTTTTTGTTTTGTTTTGCTGTGTTTGGTTTGGGTTTTTTTGGGTCAGAGTTAGGTTGATGGTTGGACTAGATGATCTTTAAGGTCCCTTCCAACCTAGACAATTCTATGATTCTATGATTCCTCTGCTCCCACTGCTTACCCAGCAGAAGATATAATTTTTTATGCTCTTGCATGTATGTTAGGCTAAAATGACTGAGCTCACCCCTGTTTCCAGTGGAGGCAGTTTGAATTAACTTAGAGGAGGCTGCCTGAGAATACTAGGATGTGCTTAGCCAAAGATGTGTATGTCATGTTACCTTTATATTGCTGTGGTATCCAGTACCTCTCCATGTATTCACAAACACTTTCAACAAACAATAATAAGCAACGTGTACCCCAGTGTTACAAGACTTGCACTCCAAATGCAGAACTGTGGTGGCATCACAAGTGTTTGTAGAAGTATCAATAACTTAATATGTATATATATCCAATGCCTTTACAAGACACACTCTTTTAATGATGGCAGTATATTATTTCTTGTTTTTTCTCAGTGAGACCCCTGTGAAGGAATGGAGCAGGCTACTGATAGTAATACAGGTGGCACCCCACAAGAGGAGGTTCTCCCCAGCTTCCAGCTGGCAAACTTTTCTGGCTGTTTCCAGATGCCACTTTAATTGTCACAGATACAATTTAGTTGATATTTTTCCCATTTTTGCACATGAACAAGCATTTCATGAGATAATTTTCTGGGGTTAGAAGGTCCCTGCTTATGCACTACAAAAGCTGGTTCTGAGCCTGTTGATCTTCCTTGGGAGTTTAACAGCTGTGATGTACCTCAGCACATTGTTTGCCTATAGCTTTTATCCCCATGTAAAAGTTTACTGAAAATAAATATGTCAAGAAGAATGCTCTAGCAGTTATGACATAAGCTTACAGCTGGGGAAACTCCATGAGGGACACTTTCTTCTACCATTTTATCCCTGAAACAGTCGTTTCTGGTGGAAATCTTAAAATCAGCCTTCAACAGCGGGCAAGGTAGTGAGATGCATGATTGTATCACAACAGCACTTCTACATGTTACTCTCCCTTTTCTCTTCCCCAGACCTTCACCGTAACCCTAAGTCTTTCCATTAAGAGGCTTTAAGCAGGGACACTTGCAAGCCCAACAGGTACCACTGTGGAGCTTGAAGCAATGACTTCCAGAGTAAATATATGAATCTTAGCAGCTAGTGCAAAAAGAGACAGAATTTCCAGTTGAAAGCTATCATAAACGCATATCCTCTGTGTATTGGACACAGATGTGTTGTATAACACGTTTGCTGACCGGTGGGTTACACAAACAAAGTGTGTGACAAGTGACTGAAATGTGAAACATGTACTTTGGTGATTCACTCCATAATTCACAGATTAGTGTACTTTAAAGTACAATATCCCTTCTTAGAGAGTCTCATTGTGTGAGCAATATTAAACAGTACTGTCTTGCCTGTCGCAGTTATGCACCTTGGCTCCTTTGAGGTCTTTATTACAGGCTTTGAGCAGCTACCCAGCTCAAGATAATGTTCTTCCCTGCCTGAGAATAGGACCTGGGACAAAGCTTCATTGGATTCCTCTTTATTATTGCCCTCCAGAAATGTTGGAACTTCAAAGACTCTGTAAGGCCAATGATAAAACTATGGAAAGCACTGCTAAAACTAGAAGCAAATACAACAAAACATTAGGGAAGTTTATTTCAGAACTAAAAAAAACACTGTTGGGTATATTCGGAAAGGGGACTTGGCAACTGCAACGTGCAGGACATCATCTTTTGCCTACCTTGCCAGCTAGTTGGTGGTGAAGGAGAAGCTCAGGCTCCCAGCTTATTCTCCAGGAACAGGGAGGTCCCTCAGAAGGAGAGCAACAGAAATCACCTCTCTCTGGAGTCAGGCCTCTAAGCTGATCTTACTGATTTGGGACTGTGAAGAACAGGCATGGTTTAACCTCTGAATCTCTCCGGACCCAAAGTCAAAGTTGAAGTACTGAAAACTTACCTCTGCACAGGAATTTGAGCTGTGCTTGCACCCTGATTCAGTCTGCCTGACTTCTAAACTTTGGCGTATGTCTGCCTGAATTAGCACTAGGGGGAGGAGAAACCTCTAATGTGCTTAAGGTAGAGAGGAAGCTGGTTTCTTTGAAGCTCTGATGACCTCTCTGCCTAATATCATTGCCTGCTTCTGATTATCTCTAGAGCCTGAATGCCTCCAGAAGCATCTGATCTTCTTCAAGGCAAAGTCTGAAGAGCTGTCTCTAGCCAGGGAGACCTAGTGTCCTGGATCACGTACCTAATGTTTGAAAACAGAAACAAATGCTACCCAATTTCAGCTTTATTTTAAAATCTAATCATAGAAAGAAGAGGGTGCAAGAGCTCACTAAAGTCAGTGGAAATCACAGGCTTGGTTCCTTTCTCTCCCTGACTAATCTCCCAGGATAGGCTTTATCCCATAGGAAATTTAATATTATCTCTTGGGCAGACTTGGTAACTTGTTTACTATTCTTTATCATGAGTATGCTGAGAGAGGATCAGGAGAGAGAAGGAGCTTGGATGCAGTCAGAAGAAAATAAAAATCAAAGAATTATTACTGTATGGCAGCTGGCTGTTTTTTCAAGTCTTAATCTAAATGAGAAAGCTTAACACTGTACAACAAATCCTCCCTTAAAAAATAGTCAAAGATCGGAACGTATATCTATGGAGAACTTCTGCGGTATCCAAGCTATTCAGTTATTCCAAGTGTCTTAAAAACTAGGCTTTTAAATGCTGCTCCAGGATTGTGCTAGGGTGTGAAATTTGCTATTTTGGGGGTTGTGTTTTCTTCTAGACCGGTGAATACAATAAACAATGGGTCAGACTCACCAGGATAAAGTCCTTTAAACTTTTATTTCCTGTTGATTTAAACTCATGAAGTCTTTAACAGATCTGCCAAAGTTTAATTCCTCCATACATTGTGGTGTTCACTTTGGGTGAAAATACTTTGTAGTCTTCCTCTAAAGCAAGTACAAAAATTATTTCCATGGTGGTTTCATGACATCTAATAAAGACGAAAGAAGAGGAAATGAGAAGAGAGAAAATGCTAGAAGGGAAGTTCTTTGTGGAAGAATAGCCATTAATATAAAGCACATTTTAGAGAGTAGATGTCCCAAAATCATTTGGCTGACGCATAAATCAGATGCTGATAGTAAGGCTTCCAAATTGCAAGATTTAGACATATGCTTAAAATCACACATTTGAATGAATGCCTTGATTGTGTTTGGTTGCATGTAAGCCTTTGCAGGAATAGATGCAGGGTACTTAACATGCAGAGAGATAAAGAGAGAAAAGACATAAAACTCTGTTTGGCTCTGAAACGGCAATCATCTTATCTGCCAAAATCACATGTAATGGACCGTTAGTTCTCTGTTTCACATCCTGTGTTTGAAGAGTCTTACCTTATAAAGATGTCAGACTAACGCCATTATAAGGAATTTCCTCCGAGAATCACATCCATTTGTGGAGAAATGTGTATTTTATCCATCGTAACTAACATGTATAGCCTGCTATGCATGAATAAATAATACTCTGTGCTGATGTTGGATTTCTGTGTTGCTATCTTCCAGATGGGAGTTGCTGTAGTAGATTCATCGGTTGCAGGACTGGGTGGTTGTCCCTATGCAAAAGGTGCTACTGGAAACGTAGCCACAGAGGATGTGATATACATGCTTAATGGTCTGGGAATCAATACAGTAAGATATTTTTACTTTCTGCTTACAACTTCAAGGAAAACAAAAATATATTTCTAGAAAACATACGATGCGTACCTGACAGTTACTTCTGCTTTCAATGAAATATTTGGAACAAAAATAGTGCTTTAACATGGCTTGACACATAACAATGATGGTGTGTTCACTAACAATTTACAATGGAAATGTTTTTTGTATTTGACAGCAATTTTAATAAGTTCCCTCTCCCTACCTGGAGCTATGAGGAGCTCAGTAGCAACTGCTTTGAGTCATTGCTCTGCCTCAGTAGCCACAAAAAAATCACTGCTGTAGATGATACTCCAGAAGGTTGGTCAGCTCTTCAGTGGGAAGACTGAGTGTACCTCAGCTTTTTTCACAGAGCTTTGGATGTGTTTCATAGTGCTTATTAATTTGTTGTCAATTTTTTCTGGCTTCAAAGTAGAAAAAAAAATGTGGTGTTTGGAGCCCAAGAGACAGGACATTGCTGTTTGTCAGGTATCCACTTAATATATTTCAAAATTACACAGAACTGGTTACTGGCTAGCAGGCTTCACAGTCATTTTTGTTTCCAGCCCTGTTCTTGGAAGAGAGAGCAAAGCAGCTTATCTGCACTGAGCTGCACTTTAATGAGCCTTACCAGCGAGCATCTACACTTCAAGAGCACTCGTATCCCTGGCTTGGTTGGCACCTTAATTATTCTCTATTCTGGGAACCAAGTAATGTTGCGTTCTCCAAAGCGTGTGCTCTTTGGTGTTTCTGTTGATGATCATTGTTCTGGAAAGGTGGCGAAATGAGTTTGTACCAACTCAAGCAATGCAGTGACTTTAACTTAGACACAGACTTTGAGAGTCAAGCTCAAAGGAGAACATCTAGAGAACTGCCAAAACTGCACCGCGCGTGGTTTTTATTTAAACTACTGCAGAAGGAAATGGGAAAGCCTGATGCCTGAAGTACAAAGATCTGAGTTCTTGGGGAGCTTATCACGTGTCTGTAGGTTGCAGTGGAGTGTTGCATACATGCCGACAGAGTTCCTTGACATAAAAGGATCATGGAACTTGTTTCTGAATTGTACATCCCCTGAGCACTATTAAAGCATATTTAGTACCTCTCAGAGTTCACTGTAATCTTTATCTGCTTCATATGCTTTTTAGGCAGTTTTGGGTAGATGTCAGATACCTTTTAGAAAAGGTTCAATCACAAGTGGCCATTGTACAAGTGGACCCTATTTTGAACTGTTCATATGTGCTTTGGGGTAGCTTTTTTCATGAAGAAGGTGTTTATTCTTTTGAAACAATACAGTTCTTTGGAATAAGGAGGAGAAATCACGCATTTCACTTTACATTGCTGTGCACCTTAGAGTTAGGTTTTCAGTATAGTCTTCCCTTGAGGCAAAATACCCATTGACTTTTCCAACTTACTCATCATGAAAAGAATCAATTCAATAAAAGTAGCCTGATTAAATTAAATATACCTGTTATTGACCTGGTGCCCAAGCAGGAATCTAGCTTGTCCTAAAGGTTGATACCAAATCCCATGGAGATAAGAATCTCGCCATCAAACATATAGTTATCCCTTTTTTTAAAAAAAAAAATATTAGATTTTGCAATAGCAAAACACGAGATTTGCTCCTTGACCCTTTGCTGGCCCATTAATAAAAGAGTGGTTTACTGGATAAGAGACACGGAGCCTCAAAATTATTACCTTAATATTTGAGCTTTGGTCTTTGTAGTGCTGGCTGGTTTTGGTACCATGGCCAATTCTGTAAAATAATTATTGTAAAAATCTATTAATATATCCCCTTTTGTATAATGGCACAAAATGAAATTATAATTACTAATGCTATCCATTTGCAAGTAGCGAGTTCTTATGTTCCTCTCAGCTATGCACTAAAACTTTCATTGTTGACTGAAGTCACTTAAGGCGTCAACCAAAGGATGGGGAGTATTTAAGTGTACATTATTAAGTTCAGATTGACTAGATACATCAGAATAATAATTGATGCTTGTTCTATACTGTTCTTCAGAACATGTAATCAAGAAGTGACGCGTGAAATGAATCTCTAGCAGGCTAAATGTGAAATAGTTTTCTAGCAGAGCCCATCTACAAAGAGATTTATTGGTTGTACCACGGTAATGGATAGATAATTGTGTCATAGATCATTAATGCTTATGAAACCTTGTAGGGAGATGTGCTTTCTATAAAACCAGTTTCTGTATGGTTCCTATGTAATTACAGTAATAGTACTTGGGCTTATGATGTCTTCAAAGCGCTTGGCAAACAATAAGCCTTTCTGAGAAGCAACTAAGTACTGTTAGCCTCACATTACTGACACTGAAACTGAAATTTGGAGAGATAATAGAGTTGGTGTTTATGAATGCTGAATGAGAACTGATTAATTGAAGTCAATGGGAGTTAAAGGACTTTGCCTTCTGGCAGATGCTTTTCTGACTTAAGGCACTTATCCAAGTTCATATCTGCTATTGGAGGTACTTGTCTTTGTGTTTCATAGTTTCATTCCTTTGTGTCAAGGATTAATTCTGGATATCTGGAGTGGTTACCAAATACACTTAAGTATATTTCTGAGAATCTGTCTGAAGACATATGCTAGTTTGATTCGACAACCTTACAAACACTTGTCGCGACTCTTTTCCCATCCCCGTCTGTGAGTCGTGCTTGTGAATGCTGGGGTTTGTGCCCTCATGGTAATCCTTTTTTGTTCACAACACTTACATAAGAAACACGATTTAAAAGGCAGAGATGCTTGTATTCCATTTAATGAGTATAAACTGTGAACATCCGTTTCTTATCAACACATATCACATTATGCAGTGTTACAGCGCTGAAAATGTGAATTTTGTATAGCTTTGGGAGTTTTATTTTGCTGTCTTCCATAATCTAACTACCAAGTATGTCTATGGTGGTGTGTTTCTTGTTTCTTCCTAGTAAAGAAGCACAGATGCTCTAAGATTTTGTGGGGATTTTGTTATGTGCTATAGCACTCTACAAACTAAGCCTAAATAATGACCAATAAAGCATAAACAGAATGAGCTGAAATCACCCTTGTTATAACTGTATTAAAATGAGACAGAAAGGGTGTATTTGAACAACATGTTTTAGGTGGTGCTATATATTAGAGCTGATTGGAAACTTTGAACCTTTTTTTTTTTTTCAAAAATGTTTTTTATTACATTTCTATGAATTAATTTCCATTGGCATTAACATTTTTGTCCAATTCCAAGAATGAAAAAGGCAAAGTTGGTCTGAACTTTAGTGCAGAAATCCATAAGTGCTATTAAAGTGTATTTCTGGTGCAATACATCTTATATTCTTTAATGCCGAGTGAAACTCTTCTCTCCATTTTATGTGACTGCTCTGTGTATTGGTAGTTCAAAGTCAAATTGCATCCCTTCTACAGAACTTTTCTGGCTTCTAAATTCCAATCTTTGGAGCAAGTACTACATCACTCATACCATCCAACTCTAGAACTTCTCCTATACATGAATAATCCAGGAGGCTAATAATGTAGTACTTTTTCCTCTTTGATCAATGATCTGATTCCATTTTAGCAATCAGGCAGCACTGATATGTATTTTATGTTGGCTAAAAAGCAGTTGATTGCTTGAGGTACATTTTTTTAGCACAAGCAAATCAAGCAGCTGCAATTTTTTGCTCCGTTGTGCTAGCAATGTAAATTGTAATTTTGCTTAAAAGGACTTCTTCAAGATGGAGATTATATTTATTCAAGAGAATACAGGATCCTGTTTCTCACTGAACTCAATTCCCAATACAAGTGTGTTTCCTACATTTTCCTGAGCTGCAAATGGGATACTTATAAGCATGAAGTTTTTTAGCATTGAGTGGTAAGTACAGCAGATATGTAGACACTATATTTTTCCTCCAAGTTCTTCAAGTTGTTATGCCAGTTCTTTATCCCAGATTCTTTTGAGTTTGAAAGATATTGCTAGAGTATTCGGTCTGCTGCTGTTAGGGTAAGAAATCACCCTCAAAGTGTAGAACCTCCCAAACAACTGGAAGCTGTGACTATTGCCTGTGCCACTGTAACTCTGCTGATCTCTATTACTGACCTGTGACATGAATCAGGCCCTCTGTTTGCAATATTTGGACTCTGAAGCAAAAAAAAATAATTGGAGTTTGAGCATTTTCAACACGTGCATTAATTATTGTTAACATTTTCCACCTCTTTTTTAGGGAGTAAATCTTTATGCAGTGATGGAAGCTGGAAACTTCATCTGTACAGCTTTGAACAAGAAAACAAACTCAAAGGTTGCACAAGCTTCCTTCAATGCTGGAACTATGAATTAAATCGATTTTTTTTTGGCAGCTTAATTATTTGTCATCTACCTTGATCAAGGATATTTATATAAAGAAAACAAATAGAAGATTACTGTTTCAGCAAAGAGCCAAAATAGAGCCCCTATATAACTTTTTATTATTGGAAGATGTACTGTACTGTAATGTCTTGTCAAGAACTGTCTGATTTGTAGGTAAGAAATAAATGACTGTAGTACAGAACCCTGTGCTTGGTACTTCTACAGATGAGAAAAATATGTAAACGGTGGGATATGTTACCATGTTTTAAATTGTATTTTAGTTCTTTTCAGGAAAACTGAATAGAAGCAGTGAATACATAGTTAATTTTTAATCAAGATGGCTTTTAGAACAGTACAAACATTTGCAGTAGTTTATGAGATCCCACACTGTGTGTGGCCATTCTATTATGTGTTTTATTTATCTGAATCTGTATTTTTCATTTGTCAAGTCAGTTGTGTTATGAGCATGGAGCCAAATCCGAATTCACCATAAGAATTTTTTAGCAATAGCACTTTTTAAATTTTTGTTTTGTTTAACATCTGTTAAGTATACAGATGACTTTATCTTGTTCCAAGACTTTGTGGTGAATGGCAGTCTGCCAGATCCTCCAAATCTATTGCAAATTTCCATATTTGTTACATATGTTAAATTTGTTGTAGTTGCTTTTTTTGTCCACTGTATTAAAACTTAATTATATGAAGTAATTAAAAATTGGCAAGGTTTTCAATCATCATTCAGGGTGATAGTAGTGTAGAAGGGGCTAAATTTTGGTCCAAAGTCTCATAAAACAATTTGATTTTTTAATCTATAGGCTATGAATTCACATTCTCACTTGTAAATCATGAATTTTTGAGGATAATAATATCCTGCTGGACTAGCTTACGTGAAAGGAAACACAATTTTTCTTTGTGCTCTACTGATAGTGATACTGTACTTTTCAATGTCTTAGTCCATCAAGATGCCAGTGAACTGCATTGTCATTTTTAGATCAATAAGGGGTAAATTAAAAGAAGAGCCTTATCCTGTCTATAAACTGTTCAAATGTACCATGAAAGTATTGTCATTTTTTCAGTCTGAAGCATCAGTTCTGTTATTGCTTGTTTGTGTCGGATCCTTCTGCGTTTCTCTGTGTAATTAACCTTGACCTCTTCTGAAAATAGCCTCTTGCCATGAAAGCCCCAAACCTGGGACTATGATCTTTTTCCTTATTCTCCATTTTCCTCCAAAATATGCAAGGTTGGAAAAAGGTAAGATGAAGGAAAGCGAAAGATAACATATAAAGAAGGAAAAGGCTGAATCATTTTTGTCTGGAACTCAAGTCTGCCAAGTTCCAGCTGAGTCTCATCTTGCCGTTGAAATTCCAGAGTGAACCCTTTGTGAGGTCTTTTAGGCAGTACTGTAGTTTAGAATTCTTAAGCACAGCGTAAGAAAGTCGAACTTTGCATGCCAGGTAACTCAAAGCTAGAAACTTGATATAAAACCCCTATCCTCTGTAGGCTGTACTGATACTCAAAACCAATATAAACTACATTGTTTTAGTCTTCTTGTGGTAAGAGTCAAAGAATAAGCAGAGGAATGTGTTTAGGTGAGGCAGGAAATATCTTGCCTATCAATCCAAAATACTAAATTGCACCCCTTCCTGCAGTATCTAGTGAGAAGACTTTCAAGTACTCTTAAAGACATGAAGACCCTGATTTTCTTGGCCTGCTCTGGATGGATAGCTAAATCACCACAGAAAATGCTCCATCCTCATTTTCCCATGTTTTAGCTGTGGCTTTGTTATTTAGCAGCTACTAATAATCATAGAATCATAGAATCATCTAGGTTGGAAGGGACCTTCAAGATCATCTAGTCCAACCATCAACCTAACTCTGACAAACCCCATCACTAAACCATGTCCCCCAGCACCATGTCAACCTAATAAAACCAGGTCTTGAACCATTCACAGATTTTAAAAATCTGTAATGGATTAGATCCAGTGAAGAAGTGAGGAGTCTGCAGCAGCACACCATCCAAGGTCCTGTGATCATGGTTAACCAACATGAGCAAAATTGAGCTTCTTACAGAATGAAAGTGAAGTCACCTCCCGAAAGAAACGCAGTTGTGATGCAAACCACCTTTTAAATACCAGCCTGAATGTTGGGCTAAACAGTTGTTCTGAGATTAGCTTGCTACTTAGCCTGAGGAGATTCAAATCATAGAATCATAGAATCATATGGGGTTGGAAGGAACCTCTGGAGATCATCAAGTCCAACCCCCCCACCGGAGTGGGTCTACCTAGAGCAGGTTGCACAGGATCTTGTCCAAGTGGTTTTTGAATGTCTCCAGAGAAGGAGACTCCACCACCTCTCTGGGCAGCCTGTTCCAGTGCTCCACCACTCTCACAGTAAAGTTCCTCCTCATGTTCCTCAACAGTGGGTCTAACCACCAGGATAAATACAGAACTGAAAGAGAACACACCTTCTAGTAAATCTGGGTGAAGTTGTGCCACTGGGTAGGATGGCATTCAAAATTCCTGAGACCAGAAAGAGCACAAGAAAAAAATGTCTCTGCAACAAATTAGGGTTTTTTTTTTCCCCTGAAGGTTGTGGTGAGGGCTTCAACTATAGGCCAAGTTAGGAACTGAGCTGATACTGTCTGCTTTTGTGGCCTGTACTCCAACTGCAACATCTTAGATAAAAGTGAGTGGTTTCAGTACTACCACAACTTTTGCATTAAGCAGAATACCTGTGTAGAACATAGACTATAGAATAAAAGACCTAGCTCTGCTCAGTTCTTTGAGAGTTCTAGACATCCGTGTTCCTGACTACCGTGAAGCATTGCTAACTTTTGCACTAGGAAACCCTTGCGCTGTGGAGGAGTTTTCAGATATGCCACTGTGGATAGTGCATCCCAGGCTTCTCAGCATCTGGGCTGTGGCCTGCAATTCTGAGGCTCTTTAAGAGTCGCTGTGCACTGAAAAGGGGTACCTATTAAATCACGGGGATGAACAAACTGAAATGTCTCAGTTCTTTATTGTGTCTGTTTTAGAAACTGCTTGGGAGCTCGCAGAGAGCCTTAAAATGCAGGTCTGTTATTCTGTAATGATGTGAGCATTGGAAAAGATGAGCAGTCACATCTGGAGCCCTTGCTTCACCCGCACGTTCAGCTTCAACCACGTCGTGAGTTATAGTAATCCAGGGTGGAGGTCACAGACAAATGGATTGTTTGTCAGGATCGTTACAAGGGAGGAAGAAACATAGAGCCAGATTAAAAAAAAAAACCCCAACGTTTATGTGCCAAAAGTGCCACCTGGGATGAATTTAGGCCTGTGGGTCCAGGTGAGCAATCCCCACAAAATCCTTCTTTACTTGTGGCGTGTCTGAGAATCCTGAGGCATCTCATGTTCTCACTGCTAAAGTTTGTTAGGCATGTGAAGACCTGCGGCTTTACTTCCCTGGGCTGGCATCATTTTGACTGCGTGGAGCATTTTAAGGCCTAATCTTTGGCTTCACGCAGTAGGCCATATGTTGCCCCGATGTCTGTGCCATGAGCGGGCATCGCTCGCCTCCAGCCCAGCACATGGTAAAGCAGTTGAGACTTCATCCCTTCAAAAACACGTCAAGAACTCTAAGTGGTGTGATGGCCCTACTGCTCCCCGGTGCTTCTGACCTTCTAAATCTTTACTCTTTTTTAGCCCCTCTTACTGTCCCCCACTGAGTTCGTTACTGTCACTTCACCCTGAAGCAACTCTCTGGCTGTGGGTGGCTTGCACCCAGGTGTTTGGCTTTAATGAGCAGGTGTTGCTATTACTATATAATGATAAATATATATATGTTGAAAGGCATCAAGAAAAAGAAACAGACTGCAGAATATCATGGTCGCACTGTTGGGGTGTAGGGACCTCTGTGTCTCTGTCTGTTTTGCTGATTGTCCTCTGTAAATGCTGAAAAGGGGACAGTGTAAACTCTGAGAGTGTGTCGGATAGAAGAAGTAGTTACTGACTGCCCTCTCTGAGTCTTACTGGAGATGAATGAGATGCATCAAGGTACTTATTATGTTCTCTGGAGACTTTCTCCTGTAGCTCACTGTATCAAAGTCACTGCAGAGATCTCTCAGAACAATATGGAGATCATCTTCTGCCAGGGCCATGGAGTACATAAACTGGAGTTCCCAGGGCAGTCTTTGGTCTGTGTCCTGGGCTGAGCTTGGGAAGGTTCAACAGCTCATCAATGTCATGTTGCTGGAATTTTCTTTAATTTCGTAGCAGTTTTTCTCATGTTGTTGGCAGTAGAAAGTCAAATTCCAGCTTCCTTATCTGCTCAAGATACTACATTTTTTTTAAAGGCATGGCTGGCATGTTGCTGGAATTTTCTTTAATTTCGTAGTAGTTTTTCTCATGTTGTTGGCAATAGAAAATCAAATTCCAGCTTCTTTAGCTGTTCAAGATACTACATTTTTCTAAAGGCATGGCTGCTGTGCTTTTTCAGAGGAGAAGTTGTTCCCTTCTCTTAGTCATAGGCATAGTTGTTCTTCAGTGCCTTTCGTGAGACAGCACTGACATGGATCCCGTACATGGATAGTCCTAATGTCTTCCAACAGCAGCTTGCTTTGTCGTTCAGACTTTTATGTTTTAGGGCAACTTGGCTCTGGACCAGTGCTTTAATATTTCATTTTCATGTATAACCAGAGTTTATGGAAATAAGAAGTGAATATTCTGGTCTTATGAATAAATCCAGAGAGGCTTTGGCTAATTTTCCTTTCTTAATAGCGTCATTTCAGTTCATAAAACTTTTATTATTGTAATAAGGAGTCACAAAATGAAGACTGCAAGTCTGTGAGGTAAAGTTCCTATGTTTGGGATCAGTGCTGTTGCAATGAAACGATAGTTTTCCAAAGAGTTAGTGTGAATGTATAAAAACTGCCTATTTTTTCACAGAGTTATTTTTAAGGGGTAGAATTATTGTTTAGTTACTATGATACCTGAAAATGAGGATTCTCTGCCACTGAATTTTTGTGTGATTTCTCAGACTGCCTGAAGTTCTCTTTATTAATTGTAAAATGCCTGGACAACTGACTAAACAGTCTGAGAATCAGTCTGGAGAACTGAAAGAAAGACACTTGCTTTCCAGTTCCTGACTGCTGATCAATGCTTTTCATCTGTTATGTTATATTTTTGTAGGTTATTTTTCTCTACAGTCCTGCTGTAATGCAGTGTTGATCTTCATTGCTGCAATAACACAGCAGGCAGAAGGACTACAGCCAAAGTCAACTTAGTCCTTTGAAATCGGTGTCAAAGAGATGATATGTTTGTTAAGGAATTGTCGTGCCACCCTCTTGGTTAAATGCATTGTGTGATTTTGCAATATGTGGTGTTAAAGCTGAAATAAAATCTCAGTGTTTATTGAAACGGATATGTTCATGTATTACGCCAGATTCAGCAGGTTCTGACTAACCAGCTCACACGTACAGCATCAGTAAATACAAGCTGTCACTCCCACATGCACGCCTGTGTTGACTTTGTTACCTTGTAATCCATTTGGAGTGCATTTTCTCAGGATTACCTTTTTATCAGTTTTCCTGTATGCTTTTATAGCTTCTAAGTTACTGGGGAAACATTTCTGCCCTCCATTAACTAAACATTAAAAAGCTACAGTCAGGAATGGAGGTAGGAGTCGAAAAATTCAATGAGGCATTATCTAACTTCAGATGTTCCACTGCAGAGTAGAAATCTGTGCCCTCTAAGTGGTGTCTAAGACCCCCTACACGCTTCATGGGAGGCTGAACGACTTCAGCATGTGGTCTGAAACATCAGCATGTTGACCAGGGAACTTTCCTGGAAAAGTCAACAGTAAAATTCCCCACCCCGTGCTACCGTTGAAGCGCCTCAACATGAGGTGCAGACAGTTGTCTTCACCACCTTGAATCCAAGTGTTTTCCTTGGTGGGAAGACACCCACGCTAGCTTTTTTGAAAGAGGGGGGGATGGTGTTTGCGCTGCTTCCATCCATCTTTTGTTTAACTAGCTTAACAAGTGAGATGGCTGCAGAAAATCTTCCTTTTGAAGAATTCAAGACTTACTGTGGCAAGACAGGAGTGGGAACTTGCACTTTGTAGCTTCAATACTGCATAAGGAGCAGCTACTCCTGTGTCTTTGTGTCAAAATCTCTTTCCACATTTAATTTGAAACAATCTTTAGATACACTGCATAAATAATCCTAAAAGAAAAACCTGGAACCCAGTATGCCCCCTTTCAGATGGGAGTGTTGTACGGCTAAAATTTATGCTCTCTTCCCCTAGCCCAATCAGTCTCCATTCCTTCACTCTGTGATGTCCTAGCTCCAACGGAAGGAGGATGAACACCACGTCCATACACAATGACCTGTGCTCCTCCTTCAAAAAGAAATGTGCTGGAAATCTGAAGTCACCAGTGGGAATTTTTCTCAGCTGGGAATTAGGTGTGGATGTCTCACTTCAGAGGAAAAGATTTTAATGAGGAGGCTGTTACAAAGATACTACTTCTTCTTTCACCATGAAACTGTTCATGAAGCAGTTAGAGTCTAATCACCTGAATACAGACAATCCCAGAAGAAATTCCTTTATTTAATAATTAATGGCTCAATACAATTGACAAAATACAGTGTCACTTGGAAATGTAAATCAAAAGAATACATGTATAATGGAGGAAATGCACTTTCCCATCAAGCATTAAGGTCAGCTCTAATGAAAAGAGCCTGTAAAACTACAGAAGCAACACAATATCCACTAAATATCTTGCTGTCTTCCAGAGTAACTCACACGCTTACCTTCCGCTTCAAATAGATTTTACTTACATGTGTGTGTGTGTCTAAGCACATATATGAGGAGAGTTCCTAGCATCTAAATATAAGATAATTAGGAAAAAGTTTGTAAGACAGAAAATTACAAGAGATGTTTTTATGACTGAGGTTTAGTTAAATCAGAATGTAAATGGATTTCTTCGACTCTTGTGACACAGAGGGTTCAGCATTGCCTCATTGTTTTTGGAAGTCAGACTGAAAACCAAAACAGGCTTCACTTCTTAAGTATATTTCCTATATAGAGAAATGTTTTTATCCAGCACTGATGAGAACATATTCTCAGTGGTATTTTTGGTTTGAGCTTTTTCCCCTTTATGGTTTTAAGATGAAGAATATTAATATGCTACTGTCAAAATACCTCCATGTTCGAAGGTCAACTAAATGCTGCAAATTGCTGGACTGATAAAGGAGATTGTTTTGATTAACAAACTAATCAACTTTCCACTTTTCTGTTGTATTTTTGTCCAAAGGCTGATTTAGTAATGGGATAGTGCTTGATTGCAAAACAAGAATGAGTTTTTGGTTTTATGCAGATCCTAAAGAAAGAGGAAATGCATGTTGCAACAAATGTTAAAAAGCTCTAATCTCTCCTCAGTAGAATTGCACACGTAGGATTTTGATTGCACACCGAATCATTTCACACCCCCAAAGCCAGAAGCAAAAGTCACACTGAGGAGCAGATTCCTGCTTTTCTGATCACACCATGATTTTCCAGCCCTGGATCTGAATCAGACACGGTCAAAACTGGAACTGAATTCAGCGGAACCAGTATTTCATTCCTGATGCTGCTTGTTATGCGAGTTACGTTTAGTGGGAATTCGGGCAAAATTAAAATTATTCAAATTCAAAATAAAAGTAATTAATCAGATGCTATCATAACAAGATTATACACATGCTACTCATGGTAACAGTTTTATTAGTAACGTCAGTCTATTATCCTGTGCTGACCGGAACCAGATTGATACAAAGATATATCAAAGACAACCGATTGCTAGTAAACAGAAGTTTAATCTGGCAAAACAACTCAGCTACGGGGAGAAATCCAGAACTCATAGCCAGAAAGTGGGATCCAGAGTGGTGTGTTAGGGACGGTGACTCCCGGTACAGTGCACGGGGAGCATTAGGCACTTCGGGTACTGCCTAGAGACAATGAATAGGAAACACAGATGATGAGACGGGTGGGTCAGAACTTCTCTCTTGAGAAGCAGGCACTTCACTTTCAGCCCCAGGCAAGTGCCTCTATCCACAGGGCATTCGGAACACAAAATGCCTTCTAAAACTACTGTATTCAAATTGGAAAGGCTCACTCATTTCTTTTTGAAGGAGGAGCAATAACCACGTTCCGCAACAACATACTGGAGTCTAAGCAATAGCTCAGTCAGAGCTGAATTCCTTTTCATACTGAAAGTGGTTGTAACCTTGATCTCCTCCTACCCACCAAGTGCTCCACCATCCAGACTGCAGGCAGCCTACCTTTGAGCGCTGCCTTACAAATATGGCTTGAGGTACTTGGGAACCTAGTGTACAAAGACCCCACATATGTGATTTTAACAGCTCTCTCAAATATTTCTGAGTGGATTTTTTTCCCTTTCCGCCAGATGAGTTCAGATCAGAAGGGTGGGTTTCAAAGATTGCTGCTGCGAGGCAGATTCGTGCTGATACAGCATTTACACCATTGCCATGTGCACCTAAAGATACAGGAAATGTGCAGCTCGGGACAGATCTGTGAATCTACGCAAATGAGAAGAGAGTAAATTCTACTTTTTTTTTAGCTTGTGAAAGGTTTAATATGTGTTAATAAATATAAAAGTCTTTTGCATGCTCGACTACAAAATTCCATTATTTATAGTAGTTTTTCTAATATATATTTTATTATCGCATATGTACAACAGGCTGGCTTTCAAGAATAGCCTTAAAAAGCATAAGCAACTGAGCAGCTCATCTGTGACTTTTATAATGGACCATAAATGTTTCAGAAGAATGGTCTGGCGAGGGACTTCTTGTCTCATGTTTTATTCTGCAGGCTCTGAAAACAAAGAATGTGCATGTATTTAACAATAAACTATACAGCTTTTGGTTTGAACTTTGGCTTAATTGAAATCAGTGGCAAAATTTCCCTCTTTTTATGATGAACACTGTGATATAAAATAATTCCCTTCACCATTATTAATGTACTGTTCTTTCTTCCATCCTCTGTATTCTTTAAATCTGAGTTTTATTTATATGCTGATATTCCTGTAACTGCAAAGCTAAAGAGAAAGCCTCTGTTCCCATATATCCTTGACTTGCCTTTTGCATTTTTCTGCATGATTCCTCTTTGATCTGCCTCTGAATTTAATAATGAAATTTGACTCAATATCCCTCTCACTATATATAGCTCCTGCTACATCATGTTCTGTTACCTATCATCTGACAGTGTAATTCTTGAAATCTGGCCATTTAATTTGGTCCAAGAAAATGTATCATTTAAGAGAAGGCCATGTTCATTTGACTAAGTGAATGCACATTTCTGTTTTCTTACCAAGCATTGGTCTATGGGCACTTTCTCATGCTGTGTGGGGGGGAATGTTTACAGAATCCTATCAGCAAAAATGGCATTTGGCAAGAATATTAACTACAATAGCAGCATTCACAGTTTGGTTTCTAAATATGTTATAATGCTGAATATTCTCATTTCCTTTCTGCGTTGCCTCTGCCTGCTACAGGGCTGGGAAGGTAGCCTCGCGGAATTTTTGAATTCAGATTTCACCTTCCCCTGCCACGGGACAGGAAATGAAACCTCCTGAAGCCTGGGATCTCGGCATGAATGGAGGGCATTGTAGATACGCATCGTATTTCACTCCTCCCTGCTGACACCCACAACGTCGGGTCTTTCCATCACTGGGGCACGCTGGACTGTTTTAAAAAGACAATCGCAGTGCCAACCTCTTAACTAAGTCAAAACATTTTATTGTCTGCTTTTCCAATTTCCTAGAACCAATGATTAATATCCCTATCAAATTACCTGATCTTTAGGAGAGTCAACAGGACTATTCCTAGGATGAGAACTATGCAGGAGGAGTAGGCAATAATGTAGACTGTTTCGCCTAGAAGTAAAAAACAGAAAGCAGACATGAAACATTTACTTCTTCAGTAATAAAAATGATTTGAGATCTGAATTGGAATGCATGCTTAAATTAGCTATCCATGCTGACATAAGTAATTAAAAGGAGGAAAAAGACCTAGATGGTGTGCCAATTTTAGGCATAACTCTTCCTTCACCAGTTGGTACAAAATCGCTTTCAGAGTCCTTTTAGTAAATACCAGCTCAAATAGCACTTCATATGTGTAGCACTACCTTTTACTCTGCCAGTTGGTGCAAAATCGCTTTCAGAGTCCTTTTAGTAAATCTAAGCTCAAATAGCACTTCATATGTGTAGCACTACCTTTTACTCTGCTCCAGGGGAACAGTTTGTTACTCTGATTGGTGGTTCGGAGTATTCTCCCCATTGATTTTAAGGTGTTAATTTTATTCTGTGTATCAGAGGAGACCTGGCTCTTACTTACCTGCTAGACCTCTTTTCCTTTTTTCGCATATTACCGTAACTGCAGTGTGCAGCAATACTTGATCTAGAATCAAATGAATGTGAAATGGGAACTAACACTGTGTTTCTGGGCCCTGTGCCCATGGAGTTTCCTCTTTCTCTTAGGCTTCTCACCAAAAAGTCACTTAGGCAGCTTATGTGCTAAAAATTCCAACTGTTGAAAAACTGGGAGTTGTTTCAACTCTTGTTTTCCGAATAAGGAGAAGCATATTTTTCCTGGAGGAATGAATCCATCAGTTTTGATCAAATATTCTGAAGGAAAAGTTTGAGTTGGGAATGTAAGGTTAGCCCTGAACCTGGGCTGGAGCGGTGCGGAGGTTAGATGATGTGACAAAAGGACTCAAGTCCAGAGCCGCAAGCGTAAAGCATGAGACCTTGCTGTTGCTTTCCTGTGGCACTGATTCTGTCATGTTTGTACCATTAAATAAGTGTTGCTTATATGTTCCTCTTAGTGGGAACCTCTTGGTGAGGTGGGAACCCCCACTTGGGTCCTCTTGGGAACTCTTAGCTGTCCCCAAGCTGCTCCACCTTACATTGTCAGTGAAACATTCACCAAGGAAGAGAGGGAGTCCTGGCCCCATCAGTGGGCCACTTCTCTGGGCTGTGAGTTCTGGTCTCTAAATCAGTTATCAGTTATCAGATGTTCTGTTTGTTTGCACCTTTGTGCATGTGCGCACACACACAGACCCAAAATGAGACATTTCTGTATACACTACATATCTGTGATGGATCTGGCGTATAGTGTAATACACACACAAGTGGTATGGACACTGGAGCAGCTCCAGTGAGAGAAAATGGATATGTGTTCTACAACAAGACAAGCAATGGCCAAGAGCTGAGCAGGGGGTTGGATCTGCCTGCTCTTTATTACAGGATGACACTCACTTTTTTCCCAGAGAGAATGAATATGCATTCTACAAAAAGACAAGCAATGGGCAAGAGCTGAGCAGGGGGTTGGATCTGCCTGCTCTTTATTACAGGATGACGCTCGCTTTTTTTCCTGAAAATTTTTTCTCAAAAAGTCAAGTTTTCCAATAAAAGAAAAATGAAAGCAATGATTGAACCATCACAAATTGCATAGAATGATACCAATTAATACCACTTAATGCAGCAAGCTACTGAAAGATATTTAATGTGGTGAATTTTTGAAGGAAGAGGGGTGAGGTCTATCTTAGTCTCAGTGCGGGACTTCTATTATGCATTAAAAAATAAATCAGCAGTTGGTTCTCCTCCCATGTCACAACATTTCTATAAGATGATGAGTTCTAGGAAAAGAATAATTTTTAGGATTTTTTTCAGTTTCTGAGTCTTAATTGTACACTCAGGTATTTTTTAAAAGTTTCTCCAACTGCAGGAGCAGTAATAGGGGCAAAAGTTTTCCACTTATTTGAAGTGGAAAGTGATGTTCACGCATATTTAAGGCAAATAGAAGTTTTTAAAATACATCACTTACCACAAGACTAGGAAAATCATTAGGAGCAACAGTCATGGATGGTTAAAAATGGGCTAGTACCATTTCACCAAAACATTGTAATATTTTTCTTTAAAAAGTTGGAAAAAGTGCTTCATTTTAATAAAGCGAAACACTCTGATATGATCAAATAAAATAAAAATGTTCTATTTTTTGTTAAAATCTTCTAAAATGCTATGTTTTTTAGTGATGTAATCGCTGGTAAAAGGGATGTTGAGTATAACATTTTCAGTTCTATGGGGAATTCAAGAAAGATGTTAATGATCAAATCATGCTAGAAGCCATATACCTTCTGAGAACTACAGGAATTTGTAAGGCCAGGAGAGAGCACAATTTTGTGGCTGGAGAGCTAATTATTCTTTTTTAATATTCTTTCTGGTTTAACTACTTGAATGTGCTTATTCATCTTCCTTTAAAAATGTTGCTGGGGTGTGTGTTTCTCAATAGGCACTCTGCTCTTCTTTAAAAATCAAAAGGATGTTTTATAGAAATTTTCACTATTAATCTATATCCAATCAGTTCTTGAAATGTGAAATATAGTGCTAGGGAAGTTAAGAAATACAGATATGACATTTTGGCTCTGTTCATCCCAAATGTTGTCCATGAAAACTACCAGACTCCACATTTCAATTCCTGTATGACAGAATGGGCTGTATTATCCCATTTTGATCTCTGTATACCTGGTATTGATCATGTGAAGATGTTCTAACTAAAAACAAGTTAAGGATTAACAAACAATAAAAACAGTGGCTGGAATTAGGCACGTTTGTAGCTACGGATCAGTTAACAACCTTAGGTCTCATGCAGTGTGCCCTTTCATAGTTCACTGGAATCACAGAATTACAGAATCACAGAACCATTTAGGTCAGAAAAGACCTTTAAGGTCATCAAGTCCAGCTGTCCAATCTGCTTTGAAGAGCAGATAGAACCATCATAAGCATTAAAAACATGATTAGAAGTTGGAATAATTTCCTGTTCTTAGCAGAAGATGCAAACAATGTGGTGTCCACAACTTGCCAATGTCATTACTCTGCTAAGAAACAGCTGTCCCTTTCAGTAATTCTCTTCAACTGAGGTACAGAGGAGTAAACCTGGTTTGTGTTCTCTGACTAGGTGGGGAAAAGGGATACAAATATCTGCAGGTACTGTGGAGAAAGGCACACGTGGTGTCTAAAGACTTATAATAGAAGGTGGCTAAAACATGAGATGTTTCCAGCTCAGTCCTGTAGAGAGTGAATTGACTCTAGTCAAGTGGAGAGCAGTCACTTCCATTGCAAGGGGAAGGGCTGCGAGGCAGTGGGAGGGCCGCTCTGTCCCATGGAGGTGGCCTGTAGTCATGAGAAGCTCGTGGGCCTTCTCACCTCGGGGTGGGTCTACAGCAGTGCCACAACAGCTGAGTGATGCATGTCTTGGCCTTCCTAGGATGGGCTGCAAACCTCAGGGACACGGCGACTGGGGCTGCAGGGACCACTGAAGCACTAGCTGGAGCTGTCTACACAGACACGTGGACGTTTCCAGTGATGAAGTTCGGCAGAGGATAGCTGTGGGCTCAGCAGCTGGAACAATTAGTGGGATTAGACTCTTGTGTAAATCTACCTGCTTATGTATACATAGTGATATGGCTGTGAATATTCATCAAACAGATTAATTCCGGCTGGTGCTCAGAGGTTTCTTGGCTACCCACAGCTTGTCATAGGCTTTTTGCTACATTTATAAAACAATCAAATTGACGATGTTTCATACCTTACAAATTAAAGTCACTGGAGCTGAACTAATCTCAGTTCCCACAGCAGCTGGTATAATTATAGATAAACCCCGCCAATTACTTGTTTATCTAGATTCTCTGCGTGGCAAAACTCCTCAGTAGGAAATGTATGATAACTCTACAATTTGAGAAGAAATGAGATTAATTTCAAAAGTTTTGGGTCAAGCCCAATTTTATTGTATCTCACAAGAACAGGATGAGAGTTCTGTATTTCCAGCTTTCTATTCCAGCCAAAAAATACTTTAGCTCCAAAGCTCTGTGCTGATGAAAGTCACTGCTTATCTTCACACATGAATCATTTTTCAAATTAAAGTGTGGGAAGCAATCTTTTAAATTATGTGAGTCTGTAAAATCATGGAGATAATTTGCATAGGATAAAGTCAAAACTGGGATGAAAGCGCGTAACAAATTGGAAGTTTGGGGAATTTTTTGTTTGATTTATCACTTTTGGATGCTGTTTCCGGAATGACATAAAATCCTGGCCCCATCTAAGCCTACAGCAAAAGTCTCATTAACTTTTAATATGGTGAGGACTCTGCCCACATCACATCTTGTTAAGGGGGTTGCATCAGTTCCACAGGCGACTGGGTTGGCCCGTACCCTCCTGGGTATGTGAATGAGTGTAAATCCAGTCAAGGCTTTCACACAATCCTGTCGTCACATGGCTACACCAAAAGCTGGAATAATATTCTTCCGACTGAACAGGGTTATGTTTATTTGCAAATATATGTGAATATGTGTATATATCTGTGTGTTTAAATTTATTATTTATTATGAAAGATTCCTTTTATTAAGAGCAATCTTATCCAGTGGCATAATTTGCAACGCCAGCGTATAGAATGGATAAATATTACTGTTTTTTGAACAGTGGTTTTTTGAATTATAAAATCAAGAAAAAGTTGAAGAAATACTGAGTTTCTTCTGAGCATGTTCATCTGTAGACTGTCATTAGGTTAAATTGGTGAAAGGCATCCTTGTATCTTTCAATGACAAGCTAAGGGATTCTTCTGAGATTTTGATGCAGGGACAAGATATCAGCAAACTATATCTCCTGCTCTCCAAGCAGAAAATAGCCAAATATCTTTTATATACACACAAAAGGCCGTATTTGACAATTTAACCGTTTTGCTTCTGCACCCGGGGATTCTTCTTGGGATTTGATTTCAGTAAAGATAAATATTTTGTAAAGATGATATCTCCCTTTGCAGCCTGCGTAATGCACATTTACTAGTGTATGAATCTGGGATTCTGGGTTAGATTTTTGGCAGTGGGATTTATGAAACAATTTGCAATATGGTTTTTATCATCAGGTAGATATCCTGAATCAGATTCTTCTCCCTGACCTGGCTTCCTATGAGACATTTATGGCTTAGAGAGTTCCCATCTAGTGTACATGACAGCTCCAATAGAAGGAATATTTTATTGTATGGTTTAGGCTGGTCAGCATTCTTTTTATTTTTCTAAGGCCATCCAAAATTCTGTTACGAGTTCAAGGACAGGTTTTTGGAAAGTATTCAGACTTCAATGTGCACAGAATTAACTGGGTGCAGGCTGCTTTTTGCAAACATTTATCTGAATCTCTGAGGGGAATGTATAATACATTTTACTCACTGAAAGGGTCTGCAGTTAGAACTAGTCACGGGGGTGAAATATCTCCCACTTGACATTTTCTCACTTAGAGCAGAATTTCTTGCATTATAACTTGTGTTATTTAACCACTAGAGTCTCGTTCAAGCTAGAGATTCAGGATCCCTCTGTAGTTGGCAAAAAGAAGCCAACACTTCCAGCAAAGACAGTCTGAAAAGGTGGGACTAGTCTTCCTCTGAGGGTCCCTAACATTCTTCCGTGACTATATAGAGCACTTGGATGGCATGCATAATTCTTAAGTAATTTTAACACGCTGAATGCTGAATTATTCACATAAAGGTCTCAGGAATCCCATTCCCATGAATATATTTTCATACATCCCAGGTTGCCCACTTCAGCAATAGTTAAAGGATGGAGGATGGAGATGATGGAAGTCCCTTCATTTCATACTGCTTGCAGAGCTTGAATTATTTTTTCACTTTTAAAGGTGTTCAGTATGAACAGTTCTGGGAATCAATTTGTAGTAATGTCTGGAGTATTGTAATCTGCCCCACACAGGGTGGAACAGGTCACTCTCATTAGAGTTGATATTTGTGGATTAAGCTCTTTAGTGTTCTCACTTTGTAATTGAGTCCTTCAAAAGGAAATACAGAACTAATATTATTTCAACCATGAGAAAATTTGTATATTAATTCAATATCCTTTAACTTTATGTCACTTGATTGCTTACTGTAAATGTATGGAAATAAAGCCAGATGCAGCTCTTCAACCCATGGGATATCATGATCCGCAATTGCTGTGCCCTTCTGTTGCATCAGAAGGTAAAGTCTGATGGAGTATAACACAAGCCCCTTTTCAGACCACTTAACTGTGGCTTCCTAATTTTGTTGTTGTAACTACTATGGCATAAAAAGTCAAGAGAGATAGGAGAGAAGTAGGTGTGACATCAAAGCTAATAATTTGTATTACACATTATGACTACTACTCTCTAATGACTGTACGGAGAGTCAGGCTCTGGCAGGCTTAACAGCTTAATTTTCCCCAATTATAATATAGTGATTGTGAGACATCTATTTCAAAACCACTTATCAGAGAAATTGGTTCAGTCTCATTATCTTTATTTGGCGGTTATATAAGCTCAGCCAAACAGGTGGAGAGATTTTTCCACATTATGTTGGATGGGGGAGAAACAGGTAGAGCTCAGTCGCCTGAACCCACCTGAGGGACCCAAACTTTGGTCTTCTCTATGATACACAAGGGAAATTTCAAGAGTACTTCTATTAAAATCAGGGAGTGGTTTGCCCAAACTCACCATCAATTGAAGAAGAATGGAACTGTGCTCTTGAAAGCTTTTCTCCTGGCGTTTCTGTATTTACCCAATGAAAACCTTTCTTCTTAATGGAAATTTGACCTGAATATTTGAAAGAAAATATCCATTCAAAATATTACTTTAATATAATCATTCAAGTGAATATTGCTGTTCTGTGTTTTGATGAGAGTCGCAGAATTTATAAAGGCAGCTATTTAAAAATATTGTTTACTGATACTCAATGAACAAAAAGAACAAGTGAATGACAGTTCTTCCTTTGACATCTCAGTAAAGCCTCCCCCGTAGCTTCTCTTACGGGGGACAAGCATGCTTTAAAAATATTCTCTGCCTCAAACCAGCTTAAATTCTCCTTTCACATAAGCTATTTTAGAAATAGGCTCACCAAAAGAGTGATGAGAGATGGGTAGTAGTTTGAAGTAATTTCCAAAAGGCAGAGTTTATTCTTCAAATGAATTACTAGACCTCAATCAACTCTTTCACAAAGGCCTGTCCATTCAGAGGCCATAATTTCATGAATGTATCTGAAAATACATATCTTCTGTTGAAATGAAAAAGAAAAGGTTTACCTAAGTAGAATTGTTTACAGGCCAAGAGGCTAAACCATACAAGACTATGCTTGGTCAGTCACGTGGACTGTTAGCTGAGAAATTTTTATTCCCTAGAGGAATGAAAATAATATGACCAAGGCTTATGTTTGCAGCCTGGAACATTGTCTAAATCGCAATGAACTAAATCTCCTCGCAGTGTATTTGTTCTGTGAGGTTCGAAAGTACAACCCAGAGTTAAAATATTTTTGAAACTTAACTTTTTACTTTCTGTCACTGGCATTTTTGCTTATTCCTCTTGGGACACCTATCCTCCCCTGGCACTGATCCACACTGTACTCCTGTCTCGTATAGCAGCCACTTACTGACAGTTATTCCTCTTGGGACACCTATCCTCCCCTGACACTGATCCACACTGTACTCCTGTCTTGTATAGCAGCCACTTCTTGCATTTTACTGAGTCTGCAGCTAGCTTTAATCCTGTAAGCACAGCCCCAAGAGCAAACACTCCTAGCAAGGCAGTGCCATAAAAGAGTAGGAAGATGTGAGGGTGTAAAGACTACTTGCAGGTCCCTTCACACCAGTTCTAGAGGCAAAGATCCTTTTTGCTAGCCCTGGGCATTTGTCCTGTTAGAAAGACTTCAGAGTTAAAAATCATCACCAATTCAAGAGTGAAAGTTATGCAGTGCTCACACTGAGGGCAGAGGAATGAGTTAGCAGAAGGGGTTGGAGGGGGTCTGCAACAGACCACTGTCCCCACAATCAAACCCATTATCATCTCTGTCTTCAGTTTAGCAGCAGTACAACTAGACATCCAGAGAAAACAAAAGCAAGATTTGCAAGGCTCTGCAAATGTTCTGTAGAGTAGGGGTTAATCCTTTACTCAGCCAAAGGCCCAGGATCCCCAAACTGGTTTCGTTTAACTGGCAGGAATTCTTTGCACCACAGGAGCAAGCAAGCTTCTGCTCTTCAGTCCCAATTAGGTTAAGGAAGTTTCCATCACAAAAAACCCACTACATTTTATCCTGAGGCTGCTTCAGGGAATGGCAAAAGCTCATGAGCAATTATTTGATTATTATGACATGAGGGTCATCTTTTTGCTTTGTAGGTAAAGAATAACTAACACAATGATGTGATCCCTCATTTCGACCATTAAATGCAGACATAAAGGAAGCAAACAAATAAATAACATTCATCGGAAAAATCACTGCCAGTAGTCTCAAATCTAAGTGTGTTATGGTATCACTTTTCCAGGGGACTTGTTATATGATTTTTAATCTTTTCTCAGAATCTGAATTTTACTAGTGATTAACTAAGCTTAAGGGCAGTGATTCAGCAACTTGATTTTCATTTCTCGGTAGACTGTGAGTGACAAGAAAAAAATTACAGCCTTATCAGTGGTAACATTTGGGCCACTAAAACTAAAAATTAGCTCATTCATTCAATGAAATGCATGCATGCAATTAATACATGTTTTTAAAAGACAGTCCATCAGATGGAACTATGAAATAGTAATTGCTTTTCATTGAAATCTTTAGATATTGTTACCTCTCCCAAGCTAGGTTGAGAATATATATAATTACATATATAAGATGACTGGCTTAGTAGTATATCCTAAGAGGTTTTATATAGCAAAATAGCTGGTGTGATAGATCAGAGATTTGAGGAGAAAAGGGTACTTCGGGCTTTAATCTGGGCCATGGATCAGGTGCCTGGATGTATCTGGAGCATTAGAGAGGTGGCAGATGGGCCTTTGGGTTCAGTTTTAGGCTGCAGGGGTCCAGGAACCACCCTGCGATGGGACCCACGGCACAATGAGAGGGAAAAAACTGGGGGTTTGCTTCAAAAGCACACTCCTGATTCAGACTAAAACGTGAATATCTGCTCTCGTATTGTCCTGAGAGGGAAAAAACTGGGGGTTTGCTTCAAAGGCACACTCCTGATTCAGACTAAAACATGAATATCTGCTCTCGTATTGTGCCACTAACAATTCTCTCTTAAACAAAGACTTGGCAAGGCCTTTTTTACTTAACAAAAATAAGTGGCTGATGTAGCACATGAAGGGCTTTAGCGGTTCTGAGAAAATACATACGTTGCATCTGAGGTGGCCCCAGTGCTTTTACTGAAGGCCAAATCCTGAGGCCTCCATTCGCAGCAGCTTTTTCTTTGAGAGGTCCTATTTAAATCACTGAAGTTATTTTCCATGGAATGAAGTCTTCTGCTAAGTGTGTGTAAGCTATACTAAGACTCCAAGAAGAAAAGAAAGAAAACCCAACATAATATGTCATACTATTTGCAAAAACAGTGTACTGAAGTACATGAAGCCAATGAGAGGAAGGTTTTGGACTTTTCTAATATGAATAATAGTACAGACCCCAGAAAATTATTCTTTTTTTGTTATTCCAGCAAATTCTTGCAATGAGGCATGTAGTCAATTTTATTGACTTACTGCTAATATATTTCCCAAAACCAGATGAAAATACTATACATGCAATTTGTATTTTGACTTGGATTAAAAAAACCCGCAGATGTAAATCTTGCTGAAATCAGTGGTGGCAAAGCTATAGTAAAGATTTGGTGTAAGCCAGCATTTTTAATACTCTTTAATTACTCTTTAATTTTTTATGTTTTACTCACGTAGCTCACTGAAGCAGGATTTGCTGTGAAGCATGTGGTGGAAGAGCTCACACAAAGACTGCTCTGCAGGAGGCAAATTGTGGCAGGTACACTCCACGCGCAGCATCGTGCCCCAGTTGCTGATGTAGGCTGCTTTGCAATCAGCATTTGCAGAACAGGGGATGTCATCCTTGATTAAAGTTTCAAGACAAGCTTCATCGTCGTAGCATTTTTTTGTCATGTGTCTCCAACACTTTGACCGAAAAGCTGTGTATTTTTTCCTGGTGGGGAAAAAAAAAAAAAAAAGAAAAAAAAAGTATGCAATGATGGTTTTAAAACACTGTGGTTTCTCAAAAAAATATTTAAGGATCATCCTAAAAAGAGAGTGTGTTCCCAAGGTACCACTTTAGCCTTAAACATCACAATATTCAATGATAGCTGGCCTAAATTAATTCTGCTCTGATTTATGCTTAATTGGTCTGAGTGAAATCTGCGAAATTGTAGAATTGTGGAAAAACTTGGTTTTATTGAAAAAGTTTTTGAGAAAAAAACTACCCACACTTCTAATTGGCACCTGTGGAGATTTTCCCAGGGTCCAACAAAAATCACTGTGACTATCAATAGTCTCAGATGCTCAGAGAAGAACTCTGGAGAGAGGAATAAGACTGGTCACCACAATGAAACCCCACCAGGTGTTGTACTAGTGGATCAGTTTGCTAGGCTGTGTGAAGGAAGAATGAATATTCAACTTATTTTACATAAAATAATCGACATCCAATGCCAACCCCTCCTCCCCCTGAATGCTAACAAAATACAAAATGTCCAAGGCTCAGGAAAAATTAGAAGCAATTCTGTTGACCTTATAGTTTAATTGATAGTGGAGAAAATTATGAGAAGAATTAACTTGTTTGCTGGATCAATAATCTCAAATGATTTCAGTTTATTTGCTCACAGGATAGAATGGCCTTTAGTGCACTATGTGTAACAATAGAAAACATCTATTAAAAGTTAACTAAGAAATCTGTAGATATTAATTAGAAACTAATTTATCACCTATATTAAATGTTAGATAAAGGTAAACTGTTGTATATTGAACATTAATATATTAAAGGAGTTTTTCCTTAATCATAAAAATAGGTTATTAATTTACTTTTGATATTGTGAAACTCTTACAAGCAAGTCAGGTGGAACAGCACAGGCTGTTACAATGCCAGCTAGGACATTATTGTAAATATTTTCATTACAACAAGCAAAGGTTTCAAAGCAGATGCCACCTCTGTGCTAATGGAATTATTTTTGTTCACCTCTGACTTATAGATACGGCTAGCCATAATTCACAGACTAATTATGCTAATTATATCCACTGATTGTCAGGGCCAGGAAACATTAATGTTCCCAAAATAACAGGTAATTCAGCAATTACGATATTACATGTGTACACATTCACATGCACAGACACACATTTGTAGCCCAATTCTTCTTGACATAAAAAGGGGCAATTCTCACTGACATCAATCTGAACAGCCAGCACTGAACTGAAAGCCTGTCCTGGCCTCCTGGTTTGATGATAGAAGGTTAATTTGAGCAGAGCTTTGAGGTAAAACTCAGGTCTAATCCACAAAGGAACTGATGACTACACTGAAAACAAAAGTAGGCCAATTGACCACCCTCAAATGGTGGCAATTTAGTAGAACTACAAATATGGGCTAATCCTGTTGCATGTTTTCTAAAAATAAAATCAAATCTGAAAACTGTGTTTTCTTCATGAGTTTGGTGGTCTGCCTGAGATGAAAAGAATAAGACAAGTTTTTTGAACAGGCCAAGCTGGCTGTAAGGCGGTTGGGTACAAAGGGTCAGACTCTGCGGTGGAAAAGGTAATTACTTTAACCAAACAAACTTTGTCCGGTCTGCTGCACAATTTGAGCAAACTGCTCGAGGGCAAAGGTGCAGACTGGCAGGTGTTATCTGAAGAAAGTGGTAATGAAAATATGCAACGGCATAGTTTGTCTAACAGAAACGGTGTTTAAGCATCATGAAACAGGCAGAAGAAAAGCCCAGCCTAGATTCTAGACCTTTCTGAAAATGAACCTTCTCAGTTTACTTGTGGAATTACCACAGCTGATGCAGACATTTGTGAAGATGTCAAACACAAATGATGATACACAGTAGACACGGTGCAGAAAATGATTTTCTTCTGGAGGAGATATATGGCGCATATATACAAAAATTGTTTGATAAATCAGTATTCAAAAGCACATTACTGAGAAGAATCTTTCTTCTTCTTACCTGCACAACTCATTCTCTTCGCACATGTGGATTACATTCAGACATGATGGGGGTGGAACTGCAGTGACTGCACAGGGCTTGCCATGGAGAAGGTCTTTGGCTCTGTGGCAGGATTCATCAGACGGGACACAATCACAAAATGTCATCATTTGGGCGACTTCAAAAGGCATGTTTTGGTAGAAGAATCTTATGGCTGCTTGACATTCTTCCATGTCGCACTTCTTATTTACTGAGCAAACCTTAAGGTACAGGGACAACTGTTTGTTACATACTTCATCTTCAACACACTCCTTGTTCACATCCAAACAGGTTCTGTTTGCTGTGTATGCTAAAAGGAATAACAGTTTTTAAATGAAATCACAAGAAAACCTTTGATCTCAAGAGATGATTGGTAGTCATCCTGCCTGAAGCATTCCCACTAAAACCAAGTGTAACTCCCAAAAAACTGATCCAGCTCTTGCAGCATTGTCTTTTTGAAGCTCATTGTGTGACCTTTTATACTTTTCCCTTCCACTGCTTGGCCCTCATAAGCAACCCTTCTGCAAGTTTCTGCCCCTGGTAGATAAATAAAGGAGAAGTGAAAACTGGCAAGATGGAAGTTTCTTTATGGTATGTAACAGTTTCTGGAAGTTACTGGCTAGTGGATACCTGAAGCTGCTGAAGTCTCCAGCATGCAGTCTTATTCTAGGCCATGTAATACGTAATGGAGAACAGAATATAAATGAGATTTCTCTGCTTTTAAAGCTAGTTTAGGTACTTCTAGCCTATGCTATAAACTGTCCCAAAAGATGTAGATAACTCTGACCCTAAGGGATAAGATTTGCCTCTGTAAATTTAACAGGTTCAGGATTATTAGCTGACATTTTTGGATCCTCATCTAGCCAGTAGTTTAACTGAAAATATATTGATACGTTATGGTCTAGACAAGTAGTCTGTGCAGAGGGTGGGGGACTGACTGAAAGGTCACACCAAGAGGGTGATGGTAAATAGCTCCTGTTCAAACTGGAGTTGGGTCCCCCAGGGGTCGATACTGGGCCCAGCGCTGCTTAATATCTTCATAAGTGACCTGGATGATGGGATCAAGTGTGGTTTGATGATTTTTGCTGATGACACCTAACTGAGTGGGGAAGTGGACACTTGGAAAGGGAGAGCCAGCGTTATTAATTTACTTTTGATATTGTGAAACTCTTACAAGCAAGTCAGGTGGAACAGCACAGGCTGTTACAATGCCAGCTAGGACATTATTGTAAATATTTTCATTACAACAAGCAAAGGTTTCAAAGCAGATGCCACCTCTGTGCTAATGGAATTATTTTTGTTCACCTCTGACTTATAGATACGGCTAGCCATAATTCACAGACTAATTATGCTAATTATATCCACTGATTGTCAGGGCCAGGAAACATTAATGTTCCCAAAATAACAGGTAATTCAGCAATTACGATATTACATGTGTACACATTCACATGCACAGACACACATTTGTAGCCCAATTCTTCTTGACATAAAAAGGGGCAATTCTCACTGACATCAATCTGAACAGCCAGCACTGAACTGAAAGCCTGTCCTGGCCTCCTGGTTTGATGATAGAAGGTTAATTTGAGCAGAGCTTTGAGGTAAAACTCAGGTCTAATCCACAAAGGAACTGATGACTACACTGAAAACAAAAGTGGGCCAATTGACCACCCTCAAATGGTGGCAATTTAGTAGAACTACAAATATGGGCTAATCCTGTTGCATGTTTTCTAAAAATAAAATCAAATCTGAAAACTGTGTTTTCTTCATGAGTTTGGTGGTCTGCCTGAGATGAAAAGAATAAGACAAGTTTTTTGAACAGGCCAAGCTGGCTGTAAGGCGGTTGGGTACAAAGGGTCAGACTCTGCGGTGGAAAAGATAATTACTTTAACCAAACAAACTTTGTCCGGTCTGCTGCACAATTTGAGCAAACTGCTCGAGGGCAAAGGTGCAGACTGGCAGGTGTTATCTGAAGAAAGTGGTAATGAAAATATGCAACGGCATAGTTTGTCTAACAGAAACGGTGTTTAAGCATCATGAAACAGGCAGAAGAAAAGCCCAGCCTAGATTCTAGACCTTTCTGAAAATGAACCTTCTCAGTTTACTTGTGGAATTACCACAGCTGATGCAGACATTTGTGAAGATGTCAAACACAAATGATGATACACAGTAGACACGGTGCAGAAAATGATTTTCTTCTGGAGGAGATATATGGCGCATATATACAAAAATTGTTTGATAAATCAGTATTCAAAAGCACATTACTGAGAAGAATCTTTCTTCTTCTTACCTGCACAACTCATTCTCTTCGCACATGTGGATTACATTCAGACATGATGGGGGTGGAACTGCAGTGACTGCACAGGGCTTGCCATGGAGAAGGTCTTTGGCTCTGTGGCAGGATTCATCAGACGGGACACAATCACAAAATGTCATCATTTGGGCGACTTCAAAAGGCATGTTTTGGTAGAAGAATCTTATGGCTGCTTGACATTCTTCCATGTCGCACTTCTTATTTACTGAGCAAACCTTAAGGTACAGGGACAACTGTTTGTTACATACTTCATCTTCAACACACTCCTTGTTCACATCCAAACAGGTTCTGTTTGCTGTGTATGCTAAAAGGAATAACAGTTTTTAAATGAAATCACAAGAAAACCTTTGATCTCAAGAGATGATTGGTAGTCATCCTGCCTGAAGCATTCCCACTAAAACCAAGTGTAACTCCCAAAAAACTGATCCAGCTCTTGCAGCATTGTCTTTTTGAAGCTCATTGTGTGACCTTTTATACTTTTCCCTTCCACTGCTTGGCCCTCATAAGCAACCCTTCTGCAAGTTTCTGCCCCTGGTAGATAAATAAAGGAGAAGTGAAAACTGGCAAGATGGAAGTTTCTTTATGGTATGTAACAGTTTCTGGAAGTTACTGGCTAGTGGATACCTGAAGCTGCTGAAGTCTCCAGCATGCAGTCTTATTCTAGGCCATGTAATACGTAATGGAGAACAGAATATAAATGAGATTTCTCTGCTTTTAAAGCTAGTTTAGGTACTTCTAGCCTATGCTATAAACTGTCCCAAAAGATGTAGATAACTCTGACCCTAAGGGATAAGATTTGCCTCTGTAAATTTAACAGGTTCAGGATTATTAGCTGACATTTTTGGATCCTCATCTAGCCAGTAGTTTAACTGAAAATATATTGATACGTTATGGTCTAGACAAGTAGTCTGTGCAGAGGGTGGGGGACTGACTGAAAGGTCACACCAAGAGGGTGATGGTAAATAGCTCCTGTTCAAACTGGAGTTGGGTCCCCCAGGGGTCGATACTGGGCCCAGCGCTGCTTAATATCTTCATAAGTGACCTGGATGATGGGATCAAGTGTGGTTTGATGATTTTTGCTGATGACACCTAACTGAGTGGGGAAGTGGACACTTGGAAAGGGAGAGCCAGCCTGCAGGAAGACCTGGATAAGCTGGAAGAGTAGGCTAACAAGAACCTCATGAAGTTCAACAAGGACAAGCGTAAGGTCTTGCACCTGGGAAAAAATAATCCAGGAGTGCAGCACAGGTTGGGATCTACCCCGCTGGGCAGCAGCACTGTGGACAACAAGCTCAATGCAAGTGAACAGTGTGCTGCTGTGGCAAAGAAAGTCAACAGGATGCTGGGTTGCATCAACAAGGGCACCAACACCGGAGATAAAGAAGGCATTATCCCTCTCTACTCAGCACTTGTCAGGCCACACCTGGAATATTGTGTTCAGTTTTGGTCTGCAAAGGTGTGGACAGGCTGGAGAGGGTCTAGAGAAGGGCCACCAGGATGACCAAAGGACTAGGAAGCCTGACATATGAGGAAAGGCTGAGAACTGGGTTTGTTCAGCCTTCAGAAAAGAAGGCTTAGGGGAGACCTTATCACCATGTTCCAGTATTTAAAGGGTGGCTGCAAAGAAGATGGAAGATTCCTTTTTACAAGGAGTCACATGGAAAAGACATGGGGTAATGGGTATAGCTTGCTCCTGCGAGCTGCATACAAGAGAAAAAAATTTCACAATGAGAACAATCAACCACTGGAATAACCTCCCTAGGGAAGTGGTGGATTCCCAAACACTGGACACTGTTAAGATTCATCTGGGCAGGGTGCTGGGCCATCTTGTTTAGACACGAGAACATTTGGAGCAGATGATCTTTGAGGGGCCTTCCCACCTGGCATTGTATGATTCTGTGCTGGACCTATTGGGACTCTGCTCTTCAGTCATTTGAGTG